CCCCTGGAGGCGGAGTCTGCTGTGATCCAGGATCCCGCTACTGCTTTCCACCCTGTGTAACAAAAGCTACAACCAAAAAAAAAAAAAAAAAAAAAAAAAAAAAAGAAAGATAGCTTAACTATACTGATTCCAGAAAAAGCAGACCTTGTCAAGAAAAATGACAAGAAACAAAGTACATTTTATAATGATGAAATGTTCAATCCACCAGAAAGATACAATTCTATATTTGTATGTACCTTTGTACTTTAAGATATGCAAAGAAATGATGGAGACCAACTTTCTGTCAATGTCGCCACACAAATTGTGATAATGTTTATTATGTAAACAACAAGACAAATGAAGTAAAAAAGAAAATCAAATATGTGACATACCTTAGCTCTGTAAGAATGAGAACCCCCTTGAAAATTTATGACTCCATAAGCATCCGTTGGGCTCTGTTCTGTATGCTTTTCCACAGACCATTCTTCTACTGCCTGATTAAAATAGTCACCCAATTTCACATCTGAGTATTTCATGGCAAGGCTTGCAGTAAAACAAGCATGTTGCTTGACCAAGCGACCACAAAAACACCTAAAAGAAAAAGGTCAGATGATTAAAAGGCCTTTCAAAAAATTACAGTTAATGAAAAAACAGAATTAAAATGAATAAACCAACAGATAGCATAAAAATAAACGTTTTCATTTTCGGATATCCATATATTAATGCCTTCAATGTAGCACTGAAATAGTGTAAGTAATTAGTCTAAGACGAAGTCATCATCCAAATTTAACCTGGGGCATCTATAAAACATGGTATAGGCACATAACAGAAATAGTATTTACACTGGGTGTAGTGGCTTACGCGGTAATCCCGGCACTGTGGGAGGCCGAGACTGGAGGACCTCAAGGCCAAAAGTTCAAGACCATCCTGAGAAACATAGCAAGACCCTGACTTGACAAATTTTTTTTTTTTAATTAGCCAAATGGGACTACATCTGCAGTCCCAGATACTCAGCAGACTAAGGTGAGAGGCTTGCTTGAGCCCAGCAAGGGTGCAGTGAGCCTTGGTCATACCACTGTACTCTATCCTGGACAAAAGAGCAAACAGGACTGCAACTCAATAAAAACAAGAAAAGAAAAGAAAAAGAAAAAGAAATAGTGTTCAAAGTGTTCAATAAAAAAGAGAAATGAATGAACCACTAATGATACTACAGTATGGATAAACCTCAAAATCATCATGCTGAGTGAAAGAACCTAGATGCCAAAGATTATACATTTATATAATTTCATGTATACAAAATTCAAGAAAACATGAACTAATCTATATAGTGACAAAATGGTGATCAACGGTGTCTGAGGCTTGGGTACAAAGAGGAATGGCGGAATGGCATTCTACTCAGCAGTACATACTGGACTATAACACAGAAAGTAGGAACCTAATGGAGCTGGGCAGTCTCATTGATTTGATAAAATCTTAAAATCAGATCAGAGTTTGAGGAAGCCAAGGCAGCTAGAGTTTGTGAGGTAGAAAACAAAACAAGGAGGGGGCTACAAAAAGAAAGTTCCAAATATCTGCAGAAGATCTCCTTAAGCATGTGTAAGAATGACTACTTGGCCAGGCTCGGTGGCTCATGCCTGTAATCCCAGCACTTTGAGAGGCGGAGATGGGCAGATCACCTGAGGTTGGGCATTTGAGACCAGCCTGGCCACATGGTGAAACCCTGTCTCTACTAAAAATACAAAAACTTAGCTGGGCATGGTGGTGCATGCCTGTAATCCCATCTACTTGGGGGGCTGAGACAGGAGAATCACTTGAACCTAGGAGAGGTTGTAGTGAACAGAGATCGGGCCACTGCACTCCAGCTGGGCGACAGAGTGAGACTCCATCTCAAAAAAAAGAATAACTACTTAAGGCAAAGTTAAGAGCTAGTAGACAGCAATACCCAAAACAATTTCTGAAGCTTATAAAGGGCAGGGAACAGTTTATGTTCCCATCAGCCTGAGTAGAGTTCTCATAAAACACAAGGTTTTGGGCATAATAGTTCAAGAAAAAAAAACCCAAAAACACAAGGTTTATGATAGAGCCCTCGAAAAAGTATCATTGAATTAGAAGGACTAAATTAGACCTAGACAGCCCATGCCCTGACAAAGTGTAAGAGCAAGACCTGAAAGGTTCAAACTGATCCAAAGTAATCTAATTGCATGCTACAGTAAGTCCAAAACTCCCCAGTGGAATGTAACAAATCCAGGCACCCCAAAACATAAAATTCACTGTTTTCAGCATCCATCAAAAAAATTCCCAGGCATTGGCCGGGCGTGGTGGCTCACACATGTAATCCTAGTACTTTGGGAAACGGAGACCAGTGGATGGCTTGAGCACAGGAGTTCAGACCAGCTTGGGCAACATGGTGAACCACATCTCTAGAAAACATATAAAGTCAGTCTCCTGCCTCAGCCCCCCAAGTCAGTGATGCATGCCTGTAGTCCAAGCTACTTGGGAGGCTGAGGTAGGGGATTGCTTGAGCCCAGGAGGCAGAGGTTGCAGTGAGCTGAGATGGTGCTACTGTACTCCAGCCTGGGTGACAGAGACAGACCGTTTCAAAAAAGTAAATAAATAAAAATTTTAAAGAACACTCAGGCATGCAAAGAAGCAGAAAACTGTAAATAAAAATCACTAAATGACAACTAGAAAGAGATGATGGAATTATCAGAAAATGATACAAAAACAAGTATTATAAATGAGTTCCAACTATTAAAACCATGCTTGTTGGGCATGATGGCTCACGCGTATAATCCTAGCACTCTAGGATTATAGAGTGGGAGGCTGAGGCAGGTGGATTGCTTAAGCCCAAAAATTTGATATTGGCAACACAGTAAGACTCTGTCTTTAAAAAAAAAAAAAAAAAATTAAAGAAAAAAAGACCATGCTCAGGAAGGCAGGAAAAAAATATGAGCATGACAAAGGAAGAATTGGGGAAGACATTTAAAAACTTTTTTTTTTTCAAAGAATCAACTAAAACATCTAGAGGTAAACAATATATTTTTTAAAAATTAGCTGGGTTCTACGGTCATACCACCCTGAACTTGCCTGAAAAAAATAAAAAAGAAAAAAGATTAGCTGGGTGTAGTGGTGCACGCCTGAAGTCCTAACTACTCTGGAGGCTGAGGTGGGAAGATTACTTGAGACCAGGAGTTCGGTGAGCTATGTATGATTGTGCCACTGCACTCCAGCCTGGGCGACAGTTACTAAAATAAAATCATATACACACACATATATACAGACAGAACATAAAAATCTGTAGTATATTAAGTTTAAATCAACAAAGATCTGCAAGCAATAATAACCTAAACTTCTAGGTTGAGCGTGGCTGCTCACGCTTGTAATCCCAGAACTTTGGGTGGCCAAGGTGGGACAAGAGCTTGAGCCTAGGAGTTCGTGACAGCCTGGGCAACATAGAAAGACCACAAATTAAAACTTTGTTTAAAAAAATTATTTTTGGCCGGGCGCGGTGGCTCAAGCCTGTAATCCCAGCACTTTGGGAGGCCGAGGCGGGTGGATCACGAGGTCAAGAGATCGAGACCATCCTGGTCAACATGGTGAAACCCCGTCTCTACTAAAAATACAAAAAATTAGCTGGGCATGGTGGTGCGTGCCTGTAATCCCAGCTACTCAGGAGGCTGAGGCAGGGGAATTGCCTGAACCCAGGAGGCGGAGGTTGCGGTGAGCCGAGATCGTGCCATTGCACTCCAGCCTGGGTAACGAGAGCGAAACTCCGTCTCAAAAAAAAATTATTTTTGAAAAAAAAAAGAAAAAAGAAAAAGAAATCAGCTAAAACTAGGTTTTTGGTACATGAAAAAAAAAAAGAAAAAATAAAAGAAAAAAATTTAAAAACTATTAAAAAAAAAACCCCTAAACTACCTAAAAAAACTAAAAATAAGAGAAAATTAAACTCAAAGTAAGCAGAAGAAAAGATATGATAAAGAGAACACAATGTGCTGGGTGCAGTGGCTTATGCCTATAATCTCAGCACTTTAGGAGGCTGAGGCAGGTAGATCGCTTGTCTCAGGAGTTTGAGACCAGCTTAGCCAACATGGTGAAACCCCATCTCTACTAAAGATACAAAAATCAGCCAAGTGTGGTGACAGGTGCCTGCGATCCCAGCTACTGAGGAGACTGACGCATGAAAATCACTTGAACCTGTGAGGCGGAGGTTGCAGTGAGCCCAGACTGTGCCACTGCACTGCAGCCTGGGTGACACAGCAAGATTTTCCTCAAAAAAAAAAAATAAATAAATAAATAAATAAAAGGAGAGAGAACACAAACAAAAAAGAAAAACAGTGGGAAAAATCAAGAAAACAAAAAGCTTGTCATTGAAAAGATCAATAAAATTGATTAAAACTAAAGTCAGAATAATGAGAAAAACTGAATAGGAAAATAAATTAACATTTCCGTTTGGACAATACAGCAAGACCCTGTCTCAAAAGAAAAAAAATCATTAATAGACCTTCCCACAATGAAAATTCAAAGCCAGATGCCTTCACTTGTGAATTTCAACAAACATTTAGGAGGAAGTATCAATTCTACACACATTCTTCAAAAAAAAATCAGAAGCGGATACATTTCCCAATTCATTTCATAAGATGAGACTCAACCTGGTTTGAAAAAAAAAAAAAAAAACAGAAATAAAATAAAATCAGCCTATAATTCCAGCTACTTAGGAGGCTGAGGTGGGAAGACTGCTTGAGGCCAGGAGTTCTAGATCAGCTTGGGCAACAAAAGGAGACTCCCATCTCAAAAAAAAGGAAAAAAGAAAAAAGAAAAAGCATTAGCATTACAGGAAAAGGCTAGGCTGGGCACAGTGGCTCATGCCTGTAAACCTAGCACTTTGAGAGGCCAAGGTGGAAGGACCACCTGAGCTCAGGAGTCAAGATCAGCCTTGCAACATGGCAAAACCCCTTCTCTACAAAAAACTACAAACAATTAGCCAGGCATCGGGGCATGCATAAGTGGTCACAGATATTTGGGAAGCTGAGTTGGAAAGATCATCTGAGCCTGAGAGGTCAAGTCTGCTGTGGCTGTGCTACTTAACTCCAGTCTGGGCCACAAAGTAAGACCCCGTTTCCCCACTCCCTGCAAAAAGAAAAAAGAAACAGAGATGGTGGCTCACGCCTGCAATCCCAGCTCTTAAGGAGGCAGAAATGGGAGCACAGCTTGAGGCCAGAAGTTCAAGACCTGCCTTGGCAATACAGTGAGACCCCATTCTCCACAAAAAGGAAAATGAGAAAAGCACTGGACAAAACTGAACATCTATTCATTATAAACATTTCAGCAAACCAGGAAAGGAGGAAATTTCCTCAACACAGATAACATAATACTTATTAAATCTTATGAAGAGTACCACTGCATGCTAAGCCTGTGATTCATTCCAGCTAATCACGGAACCAAGGTGTGGTCTTGGAGACTCCTGACACAAATGTGTACAAAATATATGAGATAACTGTTTCAAGCATTGAACAAGAAGAAACATGGGGCTGTAATCCTTGAAATGAAGAAAATACATGAGGTAAGCCCCCATGTTTGCACCAGCTTGGGGGCAATTTCTCAGTCATAGAGATGATACCTAGGCAAAAATGGTAGTCACTGAGCCAAGCAAGGAAGTAGAGAACAGAATTCTAGGCGGCTGAAACAGTTGGAGTTTGTAGAATATCAGAGAAAAGGGAACTATACAGGTAAGAAGGAAAAAAAATCTCACATGGAGATTCACCATGGGTCTTTGGCCATGGTCTAAGGTGTATCTGTGAGAGATTCCATGATGCCTAGCAGCAATCACTTGCTGTGTGTGGATCTGAGAACTGGGTCATAAAGGTCTGGAAGACACAGCAGTTTTATTTCAGCATGCAAAGACATCACTGAGCCTCTGGAAAACTCAGTTGAGACCAGAAAAAAGCTATACCTTAAGAGGAAGGTCTATATCCTAGGACTAAGTTCAAAACAGAAGTAGAATTACCCTAAAAGAAGAAAATCAAACCCAAATGGACAAAATAATCTATCAATAATTAATTTAATCAACTGTCAGAAAGAAACCAAATAGTCCTTACAGAATAATTATTTACTCCAGAACCCCTAGAATAGGTCATCTGCAACATATAATAAAAAATTAACTATATACATTAAAAAAAAGATGAAGGAAAAAAGCAGTCACTAGAAACAGACCCTAAATGATGCACATGTTAGAATCAGTAAACAAGACTTTAATGCAGGTGTTGTAAATATGCTGAAGGACATATAGGAATAGACAGTCGTAATGAGAGTGCACATGAGGCATCTCAGCAGTGAAATGGAAACTGTAACCAAGAATCAAATAGCAATCCTAGCACTGAAAAATGTTTGAAATGAAAGTTCACTGGATGGACAAAACAGCATCCTGCAGAAATAAAGAGTGAAAGAAGTAAGAGTGAGTGAACCTGAAGACAGATCAATAGAAATTATTCAATACACCAGATAAAGAAAAAAAGTTAATTAAAAATAAAACCTTCCCAGCCAGGCGAAGTGGCTTACCCCTGTAATCCCAGCACTTTGGGAAGCTGAGTCAATCGAATCACAAGGTCAGAAGTTCGAGATCAGCCTGATCAACACGGTGAAACCCCATCTCTACTAATAATACAAAACAGTGGCAAGTTCCTGAAATCCCAGCTACTTGGGTGGCTGAGGGAGGAGAACTGCTTAAACCTGGGAGGTGGAGGTTGCAGTAAACTGAGATTGCACCACTGCACTCCATCCTGGCCAACAGAGCAAGACTCCATCTCAAAGTACAAAAAAAAAAAAAAAAAACCAACCTTCCAAATTAGGTTAAAAATCTGAATGTGCAAATATTTATGCAGAATATTAAGCAGAATAAGTACAAAGAGAATCACTCAGGCATATTACAGACATGCTGTTGAAAACAAAAGGTATAGAAAAAAAAAATCTTTAAAGTAGCTAGAGATAAAAAAAAGACCCATTCCACACAGGGAGACTACAGTAATGACAACTGCCTTCTCGTCAGACACAAAAGCTACAAGATAAAATAATGACATCTTTAAAGTGCTGCAATGTACTGGGTGCAGTGGCTCATGTCTGTAATCCAGCACTCTGGGAGGCCAAGGCAGGCAGGTCAGGAGGTCAGGAATTCAAGATCAGCCTGCCAGCATGGTGAAACCGCATCTCTACTAAAAATACAAAAATTGGCTGGGCATGGTAGTGTGTGCTGGAAAGCAATGAGGCAGAAGATCTGCTGGAAAGGCTGAGCAGAAGAATTGCTTGAGCCCGGAAAGCAGAGGTTGCAAAAAGTGGAGATTACACCACTACACTCCAGCCTGGGGTAATAGGACAAGACTCCATCTAAAAAAAAAAAAAAAAAAAAAAAAAAAAGAAAAAAACTACTGCCATGAAAAAACTCAATCCAGAAGTCTATATCCACTGATAACATCCTACAAATATGAAAACTGAAGAAACATATTTTTAGTTAGACCAAACTGAGAAAATTCTTATTCAGTATAACTGTACTACATGAAATGCTAAATAAAGGAAACTCTTTGGCCTCCTGAAACAAGTGACACCAGATGGAACCTCACCATCTGTAAGAAGAAATAATAGGACTGGAGTTGTGTAAGTATAGAGGCAAATATGAAAGACTGTCAGGTCTTTAAGTTGACTTTTTTTTTTTTTTTTTTTGGAGACAGGGTCTTGCTCTGTTGCCCAGTCAGGAGTGCTGTGGTGTGATCAGGGCTTATTGCAGTCTCAAGTTCCTGAAAATGCCAAGATATTTTGTGAGTGTGTGTTTGTGTGTTTGAGATCAGGGCTTATTGCATTGCAGTCTCAAGTTCCTGAGCATGCCAAGATTGTGTGTGTGTGTGTGTGTGTGTGTGTGTGTGTAACACGAAGATCAGGGCTTATTGCGGTCTCAAGTTCCTGAGCATGGCAAGATAGTGCGTGTGTGTGTCTGTGTGTGTGTGTGTTTTCTCACTATGTTACCTGGGCTTGTCTCAAACTCGTAGGCTCAAACAATCCTCCTGCCTCAACTTCCCCAAGTGCTGGGATTACAGGTGTGAGCCATCACATCCAGCCTATCAGGTTTTTTGCTTGTTTTGGTTTTATGAACTTCCTTGAAAAATTCCTCAATATATCTAAAATGAACTCATTCTATGTACTTTTATTCCTAGTATACCACCCAGAGACCTTCTCTTCTTCCTCTTTTACTTTCTTATCAGACCCTAATACATATTGCAATTTACTCAGTTGGCTAAGTAGGAAATGTTGTTACCATGCTCAAATCTTCCCTTCTCTTCACATCCACCAAATCCTATTGCATTTATCTCATTAATCCCTTCAAATATGCCTACTTCTCTTCATTGTCAAAAACATCTTACTTCAGGTTCTCATCTTTTTGCCAGAATCACTCCAAAACCTTAGCAACTGGTCTATTTTCTTCTAATTCAATCTAAAAATGTAAACTGCTCTTACAAAAAATAAAATCGGCGGGGGGCAGTGGCTCCTGATTATAATCCTAACACTTTGGGAGGCGGAAGCAGGTGGATCACCTGAGGTCAGGAGTTCAAGACCAGCCTGGCCAACATGGCGACACCCCATCTCTACTAAAAATACAAAAACTAGCTGGGCATGGTGGCAAGCACCTGTAATCCCAGCTACTCAGGAGGCTGAAGCAGGAGAATCATTTCAAGCCAGGAGGTGGAGTTTGCAGTGAGCCAAGACTGCACCACTGCACTTCAGCATGGGTGACGGAGGAGGACTCCATCTCAAAAATAAAAAAAAATCTAGCATGTTATTAATTGCCTATATAACATCCTTTTAACATGAAAATCATAAGTATGTGCAAGTATACAAAAAGCCTTGTAGAGTAACTGAAATTCTGTTAACAATAAAAAATTAGGAAGAGGAGGAGGAGAAAAAAAAAAACAATAAAAAATTAATAAATGAGACAAAAAGCTCAAATGATCTGGTTCTTATTTTTCCAGGCTCAAATCTCTCAAATCCCCATCTGAACATCTTACATTCTGCAGTTTCCTAAAAGAACCATGATTTCTTTCACTTTCAGACCTTCCCGCACACTGCTCTCACTGCCTAAAATTCCTGTCCTTCAACTTTTGCCCAATGGACACAACTTTACAACTCTTCTTAGGTAGCTTCACCTGAGTTTCAAACAGTTTTGTCTGACCCTTCACCTTCCAAGTCTAGGTAAAGTACCCATCAAATATAATAGCATGTGAATTTCATGCCATTGTATTCTAACTCATATTTCTAATAGATTACATTTATTTTTCAAAATTTGTGCAGGGTAGTTAGGTCAAACTTACCTGACAAGTTGCTGACAAATTTGACATCCTGGAAGGCATCTGTTGAACACAAGACGGTAAATAAGTTATTTCAGGGGAAAAAGTTCTGATTTTAAACTAAAGCATATAAAGTACATAAAATACAAAGAAAAATTATATACTTAGTTTAAATTTTCAGTACATATCAGATGATTATACCTTCACTTATAATTCAAATAACTCTATTTTAACTGATATTTCAATATTTTAAATATAATTAGTTGTAACATAAAATCCAGAAACTATAAAACCCTGCCTGATTTAACTGCATAGAAATACAACATTTATATGTGGCGAAAATCTGCCAGTAATAAAGTCTAAGGACAAACAACAAAAAAATAGCTTCCTCAAGTCAATTTTTTTTTTTTAAGACACAGTTTCTCTCTTGTCTTCCAGGCTGGGGCGCGATGGTATGATCTAGGTTCACTGCAACCTCCACCTCCCAGGTTAGAGCAATTCCTCTGTCTCAGCCACCTGAGCAGCTGGGATTACAGGCACCTGCCACCACACCTGGCTAATTTTTGTATTTTTAGTAGACAGGGTTTCGCCATGTTGGCCAGGCTAGTCTCCTGACCTCAAGTGATTGGCTCGCTTTGGCCTCCCAAAGCTCTGGGATTACACTGAGTTGCTGCACCCAGCTAATTTTGTATTTTTAGTGGAGACAGGTTTTTGCCATGTTGGTCATGTTGGTCTTGAACTCCTGATCTCAGGTGATCTGCCCACCTCGGCCTCTCAAAGTGCTGGGATTACAGGCATCCAGCAAATCAATTTTTAAGATCCAAAATTATAAAGGAAAACTAAACGAACCGACAGTTCATAATGAAAACATACACAAGAAGATTATTTGATTACAAAAGACTTTTAAAGCATATTTTAAGACCTTATCTTGGCTGGGTGTGGTGGTCCATACCTATAATCCCAACACTCTGGGAGGCGCAGATGAATTGCTTGAATCCAGGTAAGACCAGCCTGGGCAACATGGTGAAACTCCATGTCTACAAAACTACAAAAAATTAGCTAGGGGTAGTAGTGCAGGCCTATAGTCCTAGCTACTAGAGAGGCTGAGGTGGAAGAATTGCTTGAACACAGGAGGTCAAGGCTAAAGTGAGCCATGATCATGGCCCACTGCACTGCAGCCTGGGTGACACAGTGAAAACCTGTCTCCAAAAAAAAAAAAAAAAAAGAAAGATACTATCTTGGCGAGAATACAGAGAGAGGTAGTCTCGTATCAGTGGGTGACAGTATGTATTTATATAATCACTATGGAAGGCCAATTGGCAATATTCATCAAAATAAAAAACGTTAACTCTCACACACTAATTCCAATTCTAAAAGTACAGGCTAACACATATTTGTAGTATACGTATAAAATGCAAACTGTATAAGGTTACCGACTGCAGCATTTTTTTTCTAACGGCCAAAAGAAAAAGTGAAAATAGCTAAAGTGTTCATCAATAAGGGATTACTAAAACAAATTATAATTGAGACATAATTAGGATGAAACAATTAACAAACTAGGGATCGCCAAGATAAGTTACAGACGCAATGGGCTACACTATATATTTTAAAGAGGGAGGGGGATAAACATCTGCTTGGACATGCAAAGATTGTATCTAACTTTCTGGAAGGCATTCCAAGGAATGGATAGCATCAGATTTTTATTAGCAAGGGGAACTAACTGACAGCTAAAGCACAGTGGTAGAAAGGAAACTTTTACTTATAGTATTTTAAGTTCTGAACCAAGTGTGAATTACCTATTCACATAAAAATAAGAATTCAACTAGTGCGGAAAGAAGTGACCAGCTCACTGTGTTTATAAATTATGTCTCATATGAATGGTTAAAGGTGGGGATACTTAAAAACAACTTGGAATTTCTTTAACTTGAGTGCTTTTATTATTTCCATTGCAAAGTAGAATTAATAAACCCATAGGAAATAAGACTCCTTAATGATAACACAATCTATTTTTTTAATAAAGCAAAACAATTTCTTTTTTTTTTTTTTTTTAGACGGAGTTTCGCTCTTGTTACCCAGGCTGGAGTGCAATGGCGCGATCTCGGCTCACCGCAACCTCCGCCTCCTGGGTTCAGGCAATTCTCCTGCCTCAGCCTCCTGAGTAGCTGGGATTACAGGCACGCACCACCATGCCCAGCTAATTTTTCGTATTTTTAGTAGAGACGGGGTTTCACCATGTTGACCAGGATGGTCTCGATCTCTTGACCTTGTGATCCACCCGCCTCGGCCTCCCAAAGTGCTGGGATTACAGGCTTGAGCCACCGCGCCCGGCCTTTAAGCAAAACAATTTCTATGGGAGAAAATCGGTGTTTTATTTTAGAACTGGCACACTGAACTAAGGAGGCTTAAATACTAATCCTATCTTTATGAACAACCATGTGACTTGGGAAATGTCATTTATCCTCTCTGGCTGAGAAATGTGATATGACGTAGTAATAAAACATGTCTTTAATAAGTACTAAGAAATCAGAATAAATCATAGAACCTAATAATTGGAAGAGATGTTAAGGTTATCTATTTTAATGATCCAAAAAGAACTGATCAAAAATGTTTATAGAATTTATTTTAAAACTTGAGAGATATTTTAAAAACATAAAATATTTTTTCAATAGTAAGTAAATACAAATTTTAAATATATACTATTATAATTACTGTCAATTAAAAATAAATAAATAAATGTATGCCAGGCACGGCCCAACACTTTGGGAGGCTGAAGCAGGCAGATCACCTGAGGTCAGGAGTTCGAGACCAGCCTGACCAACATGGTGAAACCTTGTCTCTACTAAAAATACAAAAAACTAACCAGGCGTGGTGGCACATGCCTGCAGTCCCAGCTACTCGGGTAGGTGAGGCAGGAGAATCACTTTAACCCAGAAGGCAGACTTTGCCTGACTCAATCTCCCAAAATGCTGGAATCACAGGTATGAGCCACCATGCCCAGCCTAAAAAAAAAAAATATACATATATACTATTTTCTACTTATCACATTTTATTGGCGGTGATGGAAAATGTTACTCTAGTCGTTACTCAGCAAAGCAGACAATCTCATTCACAACTGGGTGATCATTTATATTGATTTAATACTTTTGAAAAGATTTTGGCATTGCACAACCTAAAGGGGGAAAATCTTAAGTAAAAAAAGGTTTTATCCACAAAGATCTTCATTGTGGCCTCATTTTAATTTAAAATGGCTAAAAATGGAAAACTATTCAATTGCTCAGTAGTAGAACAGGTATATAAATTGTGGTATACACAGTAACAGAATATTAACTGCCAGTGCTTTTCTTTAAGACAAAGTTTCGTTCTTGTTGCCCAGGCTGCAGTGCAGTGGCGCAATCTTGGCTCACTGCAACCTCCGCTTTCCAATTTCACACGATTCTCCTGCCTCAGTCCCCCAAGTAGCTGGGATTAGAGGCACCCACCACCATACCTGCTAATTTTTGTATTTTTAGTAGAGACGGGGTTTCACCATGTTGGCGAGGCTGGTTTCGAACTCCTGACCCCGTGATCCACCCACCTCAGCCTCCCAAAGTGCTGGGATTACAGGCGTGAGCCACTGTGCCTGGCCTATTAACTATCATTCTTATGAAATATCTGTGGTACAAAAAAACATTTTGCATACAGACTGAATGCAGCTATATTTTAAAACAAAAACAATACACTGAGGAAAAATTAAAAATAAAGCCACCAGATGTTATTGACAGTCTTAATGTATTGAAACCCTAAGTACTGAGCCAACTTTCTGTTTCTCAAAAGTTTTTAAAATGTATCATGCACATTACACTTACAATGGAAATGTGTTTGTTGCAAGAGATCCATTCAAAACGAATTTTTTACTTTTTTTCTTTTTGTTTTCTTCTCTTTTTTTTTTTTTAAATAGAGACAGGGTTTCACCATGTTGCCCAGGGTGGTCTTGAACTCCTGAGCTCAGGTAATCCACCCGCCTCTGCCTCCCAAAGTGCTGGGATTACAGGCGTGAGCCACCACACCCGGCTTCAAAATGAATTTTTTAAATGTTAAAGAGAAATTTAAAATTAAATTACACAAATTTACATTTATGTAATATAACAAAAGGTTTTAGAAATTCTGTTCAACAAATATTTACTAAGTACCCACTATAAACAAGAATAGTGACATACTCTATAATGTAAAGAGATTTCAGTTAATTAAAATTGTCTATTAGCTATGTTTTTCTAAGTGTTATACATCTAATAGAAATAAAAGCAGCAGAGAAGGTAAGTGGATAGAGAACAAACTATAATTGGAGATGGAAAATAAAAGAAGATTCAAAAATCTTGCAAATACTTTTGTCAATTGATTTTCATGTTTTCTAAGTGCCCATGAAGAGGTCTATAGGTTAGGAAATAACTATATCTTAGATTTCCTTGTTTAAGTTTTTTTCTATCTTTAGGCCTTAGAAAAAAGAAAAATTTGTCAGGCGCAGTGGCTCACACCTGTAATCCCAGCACTTCTGGAGGCCAAGGCGGGTGGATCGCCTGAGGTCAGGAGTTCGAGACCAGTCTGGCCATCGGGGTGAAACCCTGTCTCTACTAAAAATTCAACAACTCGCCAGGCGTGGTGGTGCACACTTGTAATCCCAGCTATTCGGGAGGCTGAAGCAGGGGAATCACTTGAATGCAGGAAATGGAGTAGCCTGGGTGACAGAGTAAGACTCTGTTTCAAAAAAAAAGGTAAAAAGAATAATTTTAGCAAAAACGTTTCTTATTTCATGAGCTCAACTTTTTCTTTGGTTACTAACTTAATGTCCTTTACTCATTTTTTTTCTATTATCAAAGCTGTTTTAAAGACCAAAGACACAGACACCCATAGTCTCTGATAATAGATTTTTCAGTAAATAATAATCTGCATCCGTATATTGGCAAACAAAAAGAATGACTATTAGGTTCATATTGTTTTCTTCAACATGAACCACAGTGTTGGATACTCAGTAGATGCCAATAGATAAACAAATGTAAATTCCCAATATCAGTGAATCCGTTAAGCAAAAAAAAAGATCTTAATACTCTAACCTCTGTAAAACACTACACTATGATCTGAGGGAGTTTAGAGATGGAGGAACACTTCAAAGAAGAGATTGTATGCTGTAAATGGCAATAAGGACTCCAAAATACTGAATTTCAATGCTGTTTCCTCCCCCCATCCCTCCCAAATTAAATAATTAACAGTAACTATAAGAAGTAACTAACTACAAATAATTTATTTAGTGTTTTTTTTTTCCAATAAAGAAATAACAATATAATTTACACTAAAATTTCTAGAAGAACCCAGAAGTAACAAAGGTGTGCTTACCTGTGAGGGTCCTTGGAACTTGGTATAATATATACACATTCCCTCTTGGTCAAAGTGCTTTCTATCCAGGATTTCTGGGACTAAAACAAAATATTTTAAAGCACTGTTTACAAGTTAACCCACTAAATAAGAAGGAAACAATTTCACAATAAATACATAAACACTTATATACTACATAATTTTTAATTTACTATTTACTACATTTCATTTACTATTTATTATAGTCTTACTGAGGATGGTATCCCAAAACATCAGAATAATTCCACTTAAATCTCAAGTGACTTAGATTATTAAATTAATAGTACTATGTAGATACTATTGCTTCAAATAGTCAAAGAGGAGGAAAGCCAAGTTTGAGATTCCCACTGTGAACCAAAAACCTTAAGAGGGGCTGGTACTGTTCTGGGATATGAGCCATTTAAAAGACAACTGGCAGGGCACAGTAGCTCACACCTGTCATCTCAACATTCTGGGAACCAAGGTGAGGGGACTATTTTAGCCATAGATGTTAAGACTAGCCTGGACAACATGGTAAAACTCCATCTTTACCAAAAGTTAAAAAATTAGCCAGGTGTGGTAGTGTGCTCCTGTAGTCCCAGATACTTGGAAGTCTGAGGCAGGAGGAAGCCGTAAGCCCAGGAAGCTGAGTGTGCAGTGAGCCATGATCAGGCCACCACACTCCAGCCTGAGTGAAAGAGTGACAGACCCTGTCTCAAAAAAACAAAACAAAAAAATTTGAAAAAAAGACAATTAAAAGTGATAAATTTATAAAAAATAAACCCCAGCTACATTCCATTTCTAAGATAAATACTTAAAGCATAAGGGCATGGAATCATTAATGATACAGAAATAAAAAGACATAAAGCAAATTGTAATTAGAAGACAGTATCAGAAAAATGGATGCTACACAGCAATAGGGAGAGAGAAGGTTATTACAAATGTTAAATCCACCAGATTGCTATGATAATGCTGAATATGATTAACCAGATGAAATAGTTTCAAAATACATAAAGGAAAAAATTAATACCATTAGACAAATCTAGGCTCATAGATGATTAACACATTTCCCTCAATTACTAAGAAGTCAATCAAACAAAAACTAATAGCAGAAGCCCAGCATGGTGGCTCATGCCTGTAATCCCAGCACTCTATAAGGCAGAAGGATTGCGTAAGTCCATAAGTTCAAGACCAGTTGGATAATACAGCGAGACTCCATCTCTACAAAACAATTAAAAAGTCAGCCAGGTGCAGTGGTACGTATCTGTAGTCCTGGCTACTCAAGGGGCTGAAGTGAGAGGATCACTTGAGCCTGGGAGGTCAAGGCTGCAGTGAGCCAAGACCACACCACTGCAAGCCAAGCCCTTGTCTTAAAAATAAATAACTCATTAGCAGAAATATTTAGAAGATTTTAACAATATATTAACAAGCTTCACTTAATAAATATATCATGTTTCTCTATATTAAAAACAGAAAATCCATTCATTCTTCTCAAGTACACATGGGACATTTATAAAAATTGATCATGGACCAGGCGTGGTGGCTCACACCTGCAATACGAACAATTTGGGCACTGAGGTGAGTGTATCACCAGAGGTCAGGAGTTCAAGACCAGCCTGACCAACATGGTGAAACCCTGTCTTTACTAAACATACAAAATTAGTCAGGTATGGTGGTGGACACCTGTAATCCCAGCTACTCAGGAGGCTGAGTCAGGGGAACTGCTTGAACCCGGTGGAGGTTGTAGTGAGCCGAGATCACGCCATTGCACTCCAACCTGGGCAACAAGAGTGAAATTTTGCCTCCAAAAAAAAAAAAAAATTGATCACATGCTTGACCATAAGATTCAGCAAATTTCAGACACTGTGTATCTTTCAGATCATACTCACTGATCACAATGCAATTAACATAATATAAATAAAATTTTTAAACCACCAATATTCAATACTTTATATAACGTGAGGAGTAAAAAAACCCAAAAATTCATAATTAGAAATTTTTAATTCTAGGCTTGGCCCAGTGGCTCATGCCTGTAATCCTAGCACTTTGGGAGGCCAAGCCGAATGGATCACGAGGTCAAGAGATTGAGATCGGCCGGGTGTGGTGGCTCACACCTGTAATCCAAGAACTTTGGAGGCCAAGGCCAGTGGATCACCTGAGGTCGGGAGTTCAAGACCAGCCTGACCAACAAGGTGAAACCTCGTGGAAAGAAAAAAGAAAAGAAAAGAAAAGAAAAGAAAAGAA